CTCTTGCTGTTTGAAATGTCTCTCTGCTGGGCTGCCTGTTGGGTCTCTGTAAATAATTTCATACGGAGTACGGTCTAGACCTGCTCTATTTGAAATGTGTCCTGAGATAACTTTTGTTATGAATTGGCGCTATACAAATAAAATTGAATTGACACTGTGTGCTAATTTGTACAGTAAGCTATTTTAGTTTTTATGTTAGAAATGTAAAAAACTTAATGGGCATCAATCAAACTATTCATTTTATCAAATTATACCAAAGAAATATACCAAAGAGAGATGTTCTGAATTAGTTTTCAGTTTTTTCAGCTATAAGTAGGTCCCCCATTATACCCTCAATGCATCTGTATGTTGCATGGAGGAAGAATAGTGTCCATCAACATCTAATCCATATGGACATCTTTGAATTTACCTAATTTTGCCACTTCTTCCATGTAAATGCTTAAACTTGGCTAGAACAGCACGTAACTCTCAACTGGTGGCAAGGAAGTGTCTTCATCATGTTGAGTCATAAACATGAATGGAACTCAAAATCCATCCCAGGATTAATGACTATTATACAACAAGTTACATTCAAGTGGGAAGAGGCGTAGGCCCTTAATTTAGTTTGATTGAATATGTGATCTTATTAGTGTGTGATGTTGTGTAATTGCGAAGTCTTCAGAGAAACCGTACTTCATTGCAACGCTGTATTAGGAGAACAACATTGGGAAACTTTGTTTTGGTTTCCCTTAATGAAAATAATTGATGCCATAAAGTTCCTAAATTAATATTAATTTAATTTCTGTTTCCGTGCCCCCTCTGTAGAACCCCATTGTAGGGCCACACCATCTGCCTCAAGACTCTGCTGGAGATGGTGATGTAAGTAGGAATGCATTTTGGGAAATGGGGTTTTATTGTTCTCAGTTACTTTCTTTTCTTTTTCCTTTGCCAGTTTTTGTCATGAAAACTGTTGATCAGTGTGTTCGTATATATATATATATGTATATATGTATGTATATGTACTGTATGCGAGTTTCTATGTGTGTGTTGTGTAACACAGGAGGGCTGTGGTGAGGGCTGCTCCAAAGGGTCGCCAGGGGTGCCAGGCATGGCTGGTGCCAAGGGAGAAAAAGGAGACGAGGGAAAGCCTGGTGTAACCCCCTTGGACAGCTGTGACATGGTGAGACTTTGAGGGACTGGGATTTTCTTGTCGAAACATTTTCAGCTTCACTTTATGATTCTCCATTTCCAGGATCATATGAAATGTCACTAACAGCGCATTGTGTTTGTTGTGTATTGATGAATGCAGAATGGCACTGAATGCATTGTATTCAAGTTTGCATGGCTTGATGTGAGAAGCTATCAGCCTGACATGATATAATCAACAGTAAGGCATTACTGTAATAACTTGTTCTCTTGTCTGCTTCCAGTGTTTGGAGAGACTGCAAGGAGCGCAGGCGACACAAGCAGTGGTCAGTTGAGATTATTGTCATATTCTAAGGACATGGACACAAACACATGCACACATTGACAGAGAGTATGTGCACATTTCCTATGTATTATATGTCTTTGCCTCATAGGATGATCGACCCTGCACAGGAACACCTGGAATTCCAGGAACACCTGGATCACCAGGAATAAGAGGAGAGCCAGTGAGTCTGTGTTCTCATATACACACTGGTATAATGTTGGATATGAGAGTGTATGCATTTTTCCACAAGAGTTTGCAGAGATCACCTTTCTTTCTTTATCTTTACCACAGGGTATACCAGGAGAGAGAGGCCAAGCTGGAATTCCAGGAAACATGGTGAGGCTTTGTCAAACCTATGGATTCAGCAACATGTCTCCCTCGTCTCATTGCAGACCAATCTCCCATGAAGCTTATTTATACTAGATAAACCTGACTGTTTTTGTAAGACGCATATTTTCCTGTCAGCGACAAGACTAGAAAGCTGTAAAGGTGGACACTTATTTTGGAATCTACTGTGTGGATGTGCCTACAGTACCCATATGCATATTTTTTAAAAGTTATCCAGTATTTCTCCAACTTACCACTCACTACAAACCTGCAAAAATATTTGAAAACTATAAAGTGCATTCTAATCACTGCCTTACAATAGTTTGTCAGTATGTCTGTGAGAGAAAAAATTCAATTTATTTTTAACTTGAATTATTATATTAGGGGTTTTTGTCTTAAAGCTTCAGATTTGAAGTGACATGAGAGGAGCTTGTGTTTGACACTATCCATGATTTCACAGCACCCCCTACTGGTTTGAGTGAAAATGTCGCACACTGTAGTCCATCACACTATCCTTTTAACTGATTTACTGAAACACACATTAGCTTTCTTTGCCGGGCTATTCACAAACAAGTTGAAAAGTTGATTTTATTTTCATCTCTAAGTTAATCTTGTCTCAGGTGTTTTAAAGTGTTCCCTTCGCTGTGTTCTGTCCACAGGGACCTCCTGGTTTCCCAGGTCCTCAGGGCTCATCTGGTTTACCTGTAAGTTTTATTCACAGTTCTAACTTCATTTTCATGTCTCTCCTCTCCTATTATCTTAATAAATCTAGTGTAGAAATCCCACTTTGATAACTACAAACAACTATGACAAAAAAACACCGGTTTATTATCTAACAATGTGTAGTATCTTAGAAAATCGTTATTTATAATGGAAAATCTTAATCTAAGTAACTAGCAACTATAGCTGTCAAATAAATGCAGTGGAGTAAAGAGTACAATATTTATATGAAGAAGAAGTATAAAGTAGCTTTAAATAGAAATACTAAAGTACCTCAGAATTGAATTAAGTGCAGTATTTTAATTTTAATGTCTAATTGCTCTTGCCTTTTTGGTTTTTCAAACACAGAGAATCTCACTGTTAAATCAAGCAGCCCTTGATTATACTGTATTTACCATCTCAGTGGCTCCCTGCCTCTCTCTGTGGCTCTTTGTTGAAAGTTATTTCAGATGAGGAAACGGTTTGGTTGTCTCTTTCTCCAGTTGTTCAATTATTCCCCAGTCTAAGTGATGGAGAGTGGGGCTGCTGTGCTGAGAGAGCTGCCCTCCCCCACTTCCTCCTCATACAGATTTATTGTTTTAGGAGAATAGAGATACTAAATGGGTGAGCTGCCTGAGCGCTGTGTGGAATCCATTTGCGGTGTAGTAGCACTTTATAGCAGGTGTTAGCTTCTGCTGTGCGGTGGTGTGTCTGTCTGGACTGTTTGTGAGGGAGACAAGTGTGACCTGGGCGCTAAATATATTACTTATTTTCAACAGTGAATGATCAGCTACTAATTAGTTTCTCCTCTGTATGATCAATTAGTAATTAGTTTATCTGAATTACAACCCTCAGTAATCATTCTAATAACCAGTACTACTAATAAAACTATAAAACTGATATTCTTAGCATTTTTAAGCAAGTTTACTTTTATTTATTTATTCCAAAGGGACAAATCACGACTAAACAGCTTTACAGCTAATTATCACACTCAGTTGCCACCATTTCAAAATAATGTGAGTCTCAACTTATAAAAGCACCCAGCTTCCACTGACATTCTCATTTTTTTTTAAACTTCTCTCTTTCTTTTCTTCCACCAGTCATCCGTCTTCCGCTTACAGCAGCTGTTGCTAGGCAACAGATCACACTTGCATATTAATATTTTTGCCAAAACACTGTTCAATATTCAACTAACAGACTGTGAAATATACGTTTTCAATATATCGTGGAATAAGTCTGTAAGGGGGTCCCACATTATTAATATAGAGATATTTTCTTACTCACATTATCTGCTCAGTTTCTTTGTTTTACTTTTGGTGTGATGAAAAAGCAGGATCTTTAAGAGATAAATTACTAAATGACGATATGTGCAGCTTTAGTTAAAAGTGCACCTGCATCTGCATCTGCAGCACAATAAGGGAGGCAGGGATATAAAGAGGGAAGCAACATTTGACAATCTGTATCATTTGAAAGGAAAAAAATATAAAAATTGAATTCACCAACCCACTGGACCAAGCAGGCAATGTTCAACCCCCGGATATCACCATCACAGATCTAAATTACCCTCCTGATGCCTCATGGAGGTGTAGAGGAGAGCACAAAATCAAATGTAGGCAGTCCCAATGGGAGACGGTACAACCAGTTAGCTGTTTCCCCTCTTTGATATTGACTTGCCTTGTCCTTGGCTCATTTCCACCAGGGGAGCCTCTCTCCCTGACATACATATCACATCCTTTTTTCACTTTCTAATCATTCCCATCATCCTCAGGGTCAGCAGGGTGAGCGAGGGCCACCTGGCCTCCCAGGAATCAAGGGCGAGCAGGTAAAGTATCTGCCAATCAAATTGCCTGGAATTATATCATGTATTAAAATAACCAACTTTCCTTGTTTGATTGATTGTATGATCGTTACCTCAGGGCCCTACGGGAACGAATGGGTATCCAGGACTCATGGGACCGCCTGGACTGCCTGTAAGTTACTCTCACTGCCTCATTATTAAGGAACTATGGGGCTGACAGGTTTAATAGACGGACAGGTGGCTACACTGATATGTGAACTGACAGTGATTAACTGTCTACATGTATTTTTCAGGGACTGAAGGGCGAGCGTGGGAGCCCAGGAAGCAGTGGTCAAAAAGGAGAATCAGTAAGCCATTACACCATTACTGTTATGTAACACACAATGCATCTGCAGCTAGACTTGTATATTACTTGACTTGACTAACATTTCCTGCCCTTCTCCAGGGTCCTCCTGGTAACCCTGGGTACCAAGGACTGGCAGGCTCACCGGTCAGTATTTTATCATGAATTTTTCTCTATAAGCAATATTCGGCTCCTCATTTATCATTGCAAACTTAAATAACTGAAAATAAAGCCAGTCATTCTGCACCTGCAGGGCATTAAAGGAGACACAGGACCAGCAGGGGCTGTTGGTGCCAAAGGGGATCAAGTATGTATAACACCTAATAGAAAAAAATGTGACTATTAGAAACAAACATATTCATATGCTACTTCTTTGTATTTCAAGGGTTTCCAAGGACAGCCGGGTTTCCCAGGACCACCAGTATGTAACAGCTTTAATACCTCTATGACAAATGCATGCCTTTGGAATAGCTGTGGAGATTTACAATATTATTGTGTTTATTTTTTTTAGGGTCCACCAGGTGTTGCCGGCAAAAGTGGAAGGGAAGGGCTCCCTGGACTCAAAGGTGAAAAGGTGAGTACAAATCAGACATTTAGCCTTTTCTGATTTGCAACCCAAATGATGATTTATTGTACTAAAAATCCCTATTTTCAAAGGGCAATGATGGCACTCAAGGCTCTCAGGGACCAACTGGACCGCCGGGCTCATCAGGCTCCCCAGGGCTGATGGTATATGAACATTATATTTCTGTGTATTATCTGTGTGACCCATTCCAACACACCTATGAAATGTATGCTGTATCACACTCTCTGTGTTTGCAATGAAAGGGCCCCCCTGGTATTGAGGGATTGGATGGAAAAGATGGCAAACCAGGGCTGCGGGTGAGTTACTCACATGCATCATATGGGTTGGCATGCCCACACACAGCATATGCAAACACACACACACTGGTCGCTATGGACAGTATAGTTAATACATGCATAATATAGTTGACCTTTGGCACTCACTCTTTTTTTGTTATCAGGGAGAAGCAGGCCCTCCAGGCCCAGCAGGACCACGAGGAATCCCAGTGAGTATCACCTCTAACATCTATGACCTGACATGATTCTCCATCTATCTTGCGCAGAAAACAACATGAAATAGGCATGCGGGGTATACTATCTATATCCTGAACACGGAATACTAAACAAATCAAAATAATGCATTTTTTTTAACAAGATCTAATATTTATTCTGAACGCGTGTTTACTTCTGTTGTCAGGTATACTGAGATCTTTAGCCATGGCTCTAGAGATTGTAGTCTAGGCTGTCAGTTGATCACCCACTTTGCTCCAGACTGAAATATCTCAACAACAACTGGTCGGATTGCCATTAAGTTTTTGTACAGACTTTATTGCAGGAAGATGTATCTTCCCTAGGGGATGAATTGTAATCACTTTTGTGATCCCTTGACTTTTCTTGTAGTGCCACCAACAGGTCAAAACTTTCACTTATCCAGTCAAATATCTCAACATCAAATGGATGGATTGGCACAACTTTTTGTACAGACATTAATTGAGCCCGGAGGATGAATCCTAATGACTTCGGTGATCCTCTGACTTTTCCTCTAGCACCACCATGAGGTTGACATTTGTGGTTTTGACTAAATTTTCTTTTGCCATGAAGTCTGGTACAGACATCCGTGTTCCCCTCAGGATTAATTGTAATAACTTACTGATCCTTTAACTTTTCATCTAGCGCCATCATCAGATTTTTAATTTCTCCAGCTCTTTAGTTTATGACCAATCTGCAAAAGTAATGACATTTCCATCATCCTCAGCTGTACTTGTGCTAATTAGCAAATGTAAGCATTTTGACATTTTAAACCGAGGTGTCGTAGCATTTCCTCACAGAGCAGCTACTGTAGCACGGCTGTAGACTCGTAGTCTTGTTAAAACATGGAATCATTTAGGGATAAATAAATGTTGTGTTCCTCCAAACATTCATATCAGCAATGGCCTCATTATTTTTCAGATACAGTAGCTTCTTTAGTACAGTAGCAGTCTGGCAGACATACTTTTCATACAGAATTGCGTCGCCATGGCTCACCTTCAGTTTCACAAACAGCAAACTAGTATGCAAATCAGCCTGCATGACTAAACCTTTTTTATTGAAAGCCTGTCTAAAGCTCTTTATGGAGAGATGGATTCACAACAATGGGTGAATATTTTTTTTCTCTTGAGATTGTGACTTGCATTTAAAGTGTAACTAAAGCGATAAATTGCTAGCTCCCTCCCAGAGGACGGCACAGGAGAATCATGTGGGGGCCGTGGCCTCGTGGCTACAGGAGGAGCGGGAGGACACACCGACCAGAGCGACAGACAGACTTTCCGCTCATTGTAGTAGGAAATCAGCTAACCAGCTATGAGCAGCTACTGTCAGAGTCAGTTGGTGACAAAAGCTGGCACCATATACATCACCTGCCTACAGATCAGCCAGTAGCGAAATTCAATTGCAATAACCAATAGAGGGAGGTCGCTATGCATATTTATAGCACATTATGTAGAATACAAATACGAAAATGTCAAGATTTGTACCAAAATTGATCAAAAACACTAATATTATATATTGGTTTTGAGCTGAAAAAGTGGTTTAGAGGTTTAGTTACTCTTTAATGCCTATGTGTAGAAATATACTATATATATGCATTAGTATGTGCAGACATTACTGAGTCTGAGTTAATATTGTAGATATCACTAGTGATGTGACCCCATTTGAATCTTCTAAGCTCCCTATCTTTTTCTAAGATCTTTCTAACTCTCTGTCTTGTACATCGACACAGAAGAGATAGTGATATTCACACACTGTAGTCAGCTTCAGAGTAGAAACGAATAGCTGCCCCTCTTTCTTTTTTGTTTCTCTCACTCATTCTCTGTCTCTCAGTTTGTGTTCTACCCAAGAGCAGGTGTTCAGGTTTTCAAAGACACATCTGCCTGTTCTTTGGCAGCCTTGACTTTGTGAATTTTGATACTGTACCAATCTCTTTCTCTTTGATGTGTCTCCTCAGGGATTCAAAGGGAAAACAGGCCATGTTGGCTTTCCTGGACAGAAGGTTAGCCAACAAATCATTGCTTTACCATCCCACTATCTCTGTCTGTTTGTCTGCTTACTGTTACTTGTGCAGTAGGCCACGTTGTTTAATCAAACTCAAAATTATGAAAACATATTATTTTGCTAGCTCATTGTTTTGATTTTCCACTTCTATAAGAGTGATGCATTCCACTCATGCTTTTTCCTTTTTCATTACTTCTCTCATCCCTTCAGGGTGAAGCTGGACCTTCAGGTCCAGCTGGACCACCAGGCAGACCCGGGCATGAGGTATACCCCAAGTGGATTTGGATAAAGATTAAAGAGCAGTTTCATAATCTGTGCATGAAAGCCCAAAGCAAGAGTATATAATATATAATCGTCAGTGTGACCCTTGAGATCTCTAAAGTTCACTTTGTGACCTTTCCAGGGCGATCCCGGTACCCCAGGAGCTCAGGGACGACCCGGACCCCCCGGCCACCTTGTAAGCTCACTGCCCTTTTAACTTCACACATGTATGGTCTGTTGATATGTTAGTGTGTAGTATGTTATGATAAACCTGAAAAATGTGTGTTTACATTCCCCAATAGGGTTCTACAGGTCCATCTGGACCACCAGGACCCCCTGGTCCATCAGGAGTGGTAAGAGAAATGCTATGAAGCATTATACTTTCAATAAACAAGAAATGAACATAGAGTAAACAATAAACATTATATTATCATTTGTGTCTGTGTATGTGTGTGAGGGAGAAAAGTGCAGACAATAGAAGTGAATCTGAACTCTCCTTCATCCCTCTGTAGGGTATAAAAGGAGATAAGGGCCAAGCTGGTGAGAGGGGTCTTCCAGGGATGGGTGGAACGCCAGGACCACCCGGCCACCCAGGGCCTATGGTTAGTGCCTTCTCAGCTTATTTCCACTTCCAAATTTGTCCTCCGAAACCGAGTAAATTAAATCAAACAAGCTGCTACCTTGCCAATACATCTCACTTAACCTTTTTTTTTCCTGCTTTGACTTTTAGGGAGAGCCAGGCACTGACGGTTCTCCTGGTAAAGATGTGAGTAATATCTGGGTGTAGTGTCTGTCCCCATTAAAGTATAATGGAGAGAGATGGATGTGGTGATGTGTATATTTCATTCCTTTGATGGATATTTCCTTCTTTGTTTTGACAGGGTGTGGCAGGCCTACCAGGGGACGGCGGCCAGCAAGGTCAAAAGGTAAGCGTCGACTCAGGGTGCTACAGTACATTGTGTGAGTGTGTGTTGTCAAGCCGAGCATCAATCATCCATTACCTCAGCAGACTGTCCAAATTCAGCGAGATGCACCCTTTTTCTGTTCCGTTTGGATCAGGGAGACTTAGGCCCGGCGCACTGTGGTGCTGAACACGCTTACTCTCTTCATTTCTGCCCTCTCAGCACCCGCACTTAACACAGTCATCAGTTCACTAACTCTCTGACTGACCCACCGACACCCTCCAACCTCCCTCACCTCACTTCACCCCTCTCCAGCCGGCAGCATGCTAGCTCTCTGTAGCTATATAGAGCCTGTTGGATCTCTCCTTAGACACAGGCTTACAGTACTGTTGGTGGATACAGTGATAAAGTTATTCTCTGCCTCTGGGATAATGCTATTAAGCATGAGGGGAGATGCTAGATGAGGCTATTTGTCACGCTGACAGGATGGCATTGTCAGGGTTTTAGCTGCACAGAAGAGGAGAACAGAGGAGAAAGACAAGAATGGACTCCTCTATTCTTCTCCCTCCTCTCTATTTCAAGAGCCGCTTGTCTGTCGGTGACGTGCAAACATTAGACGTCCATTATGGGCTGCTTTGTCCTCGATAAATCACTCTCGCTAATGCAGCCCGGCTGTTTTTTGAGTGTATTTAAACAACCTGAATGGTGCGCGCTGTTGTGTGGAAAGAGATATAGATGTAGCCAGACGCTGTCTTAAAGGCTGCTGCTGATTCGTCTTCTCTGAAACGGGGCTGATAGTAATCTCCACGTGCTTCCCAAAAGCAGCGACAGATAACGGCTGAAAAAGCTCTGGGAGGAAGAACACAACAGTTAAACATTTGTTTTGAGGCTGAGAGTTAGATGAAAAGATTGATACCGCTCTCGTATCTCTCCCTTAAATATAAAGCCCACACCCGGGAGACACTTAGCTTAGCTTAGTTTAGCTTATCTTAGCTTAGCATAGCATAGCATAGCATAGCATAGCATAGCATAGTAAATCAGCCCTGGGAAACAGCCAGTCACAGCTTGTTTCTACACTAAGGTTTTTTTTATGGATTGAACAAATTAGATATTCCTGGCTTTAGCTTTATAATTACACACAGATTACCCAAGTAATTACCCAAATGTCCGCTTGGACTTCAGGATGAACAGATTAGATCCACTCTCTAAGGTACAAATAACATGACTGACATTGTTTTTATCTACTAACACTACCTGTGTCTCCCAGGGTGAGCCAGGGGCCACGGGCCAGAGGGGTCCTCCAGGGGAAAGAGGTAGACCTGGACCCCCTGGTGGTGGAGGTTACCACTCCAAGGATGCCCAGCCCATGATTGGCCCAGCTGGACCCAGAGGGGAGAGGGGAAGCCCAGGCACAGCGGGCGCCCAAGGGCTCCCTGGAACACCCGGGTCACCAGGAAATGATGTGAGTAGTCTCATTACACTTTCAGCACTGTAGCTGTAGCTTTAACTTTTAATCAGCTCCAAATCATACAATGCCCAGCTTGGTTATGAGAAGAGGTGATGACACAGTATCTTGACCAAAGGCTCTCACAAGCTCCATCTGCTCATAATAAAGAATTTCAGTTTGACTGATGTTTTCTGATGCTTTGGTTTTTTGTTTCTCTATTCTTTAACAGGCTGTAGTCAACTATGATGAAATCAAGAACTTCATCCGCCAGCAGGTCATCAAGATCTTTGATGGTGAGGGCATGTGCCAATCTCTAGAAATGCACATTGTTGTGTGTGTTGTTGTTTTGTAGTACTGTGTACTATAATAACGCTGTAGTTTCTAGACCAAAGCAACATTTTCTCCTTAGAGGCATATCTCTGGTTTAAAGAATTATTCCATTTCTCCTCTGGGACTCTGGGACACCTCTGCTCTTCCCGCCGTTGTGGAATCATTGTTTGTTATTGCATGTTTCCTCTCCCCAGAGAGAATGGCCTACTACATGTCTCGCATGCAGATGCCAGTAGAGATGGTGGCATCCCCAGGCCGGCCCGGGCCCCCAGGGAAAGACGGAACACCAGGTAATCCCGGAGCCCCAGGTGCACCTGGAATGCCGGGACAGATTGGAAGACAAGGCCGACCGGGAGGCCCAGGACCTGCAGGTGAGCCCCCTCAGTTAGAGCAATCATCTTTCAAGCGCCATGAGAGTGTGTTATCACTTGCTAACTGTAACCTCTTTAACTGTCATGTGATCAAAATATGTGACTCTTTATCTGTAGGACCACGAGGACCATCTGGAGAAAAGGGTGATAAGGGTGTTGGAGAGATGGGAGATATAGGACCTCCAGGAGCACCAGGTAATGTACCCCACTAGTGCCATAGTTAGCAATGGTTAGCAACTTCTGGCACATTCCTCTATGTAAATTGACAAAAAACGTTTTTGTTTATACGTTGAAATATTATAATTATAATTTCAGTTACAGTGTCACATTTTCTTCCACTCGTTTCATTCAAAGTGCTTCATGCACAATCCCAAGCTACACCTGATGCTAAACCCATCTGGCAGAATTGGCTAACTCTACATAAATTATGCTAATGGCTTAAAATGTTTGCATTTATTGTTGATTTGTAAATTACCAGCTTGATGAAAGTAATGTTTCATCATTCTTAAATTGTCCTAATTAAAATGATCAGGCTACTTCATACGACCCAAATCAACATGTGAGAATCCTTAATCATCATGGAGTTTAGATAGCTTTGTCTAAATTAACAAATTAGCATCTGCAGTCATTTTACATGGAGTTGTATTTATTCTGGGTAGTTTTGTGTTGTGCCCACCCAGTGATCAAAATAGGATTTTAATGTTTGTTTGATGTTTTCACCGTGTTCCCCTCAGAATGTGTTACGGTAGTATTACGTCTGTTAGAGGTGATTTACTTATTGGTGTGTTCTGGACATATCTTCTGCAGTGTCCTCCATCCTGCTGCAGTATCCAATGGAAACACTTCACTCACAGAAGCCGTATTATACAGACACAAAAATAAACCTTCAAAGGAACAGTTGGACAAACACTGTTATTTGCTTTTTGCTAAGAGTTAGATAATGATGGATGCCACTCTGTACAGTAAATATGAAGCTACAGCCAGCAGCTTGTTAGATTAGCTTAGCACAAAGACAGGGAGTAGCAGCTAGCCTGGCTCCAAAATTAAAACATCTGACTACCAATAATAACACACTGTGCCTTGTTTGTTTACATACAGAACCAATAACCATAACAATGTTTGGTGTTGGGGTTTTATAAGAAGCCATGTGAGCTGTTTCTACCTGTGAGCTAAGCCACTTAATCTTATCTAATTGTTGGCACGAAAGCAAACAACCGTATTTACAAAAATGTCAAACTATTCCTTTAACTTTTCCCTTTAAATATGTTGGTTTATCTTTTTAGGCACCAGGGCAGTGATAACACCAGCATCATTACATTTCTTTTATTTCCAGGTGTCCCAGGTCCCCCAGGCTATGGTAAGATGGGACCCCCAGGTCCTGTTGGCCAGCAGGGTGTTCCTGGGATCCCAGGCCCTTCTGGACAGCCTGGTTCAAAGGGACATGATGGGCGGTGTAATCCTGCAGACTGTATGAGCCATCAAGTAGAATACAGCCCCAAGGGCCCACCTATCAAGGGCCCCTGGTAGAGGGCTAGAGGTGATGGATGCAGAGGGGACTGAAGCAAAGAGACTACGGAGAGGATATGAAGCCAAAGACCATGACCCAAAGTTATTAAATCTGACCACAAAAGAAAAGAGCACAAAAAAGGAGCTCCTTTGTTGTTGAATTGTGTAGATTTACCCATACAGATCTCTACTGTAGATATGAGCAAAAATCCACAATTTCTTTCTAAGGGCCCCGCTGGAATGAGGCTTGCAAAGACGCACCAGCAGCACATTTTTATTGCATCATTCTTTTTTCCTTATGAATGCCAATTTATTGTTATATTACTGCCTCTTATTTCCCCCTGTGTTTACTCCTTTTGTACATTTCCAAACAACCCAGGGGAGGTGACAAGAATCACAACCTGTATTTTCTCTCTCCTTGATTAATTCTGGCCTCTTCTGGTTTTTTTCATATCCTTTGCTTAAATCTGTAGGAAGAGAATACACACAATTATTGTTGCACTTTGCTTCCACCTCTCATATCTCTTCTTCTTTCACACAGAATCACATTCAGAGCGCATCCCATGCATTTCTAATATTCTGTCTCAGTGCTCATGGTGTTATACATATTTGGATTTGACTTGTATGAGAATATCCTGAGAAATGTATTTCACTTCTGTAGAAACAGATGTCAAAAACTCACATTCATGCCCTCTTTGATGGATTGACTGTTATGTATATATTTATTTTTATATATATAGTGGCTTTTTCTACTTTTTCAATGGATCTGATAAAAGACATATGCATGGCCAGCCACTTATTTTTCATTGTCAGTGGATATACAGAAACAAAAAAATGCCAAAGGGATATTTTTCTATAAGCTTTCAAAATGGAATAATGTGTTCAGCAAAAGACAAATTATTTATAGAAGAAAACTGCGTTTACACAAGAAAGCATATTGGCTTTTGTAATTATGTTGCTGAAGATCATTTTGTGTCATTTTAACTCCGGTCTTTTTGGAAATACAGCCATTTTAAAGCATCTCATCTCATTTTGTATTCCAAAGTAGCTGTAATAGCCATCTGTCTCCTTCACTAGGCTCTTGTTTGAGAAAATATGAGCAATAATTCATCCCATTCACCGCAGGTACTGTAATGCAACACACTGAGCATGGTCACCAAGCCCCTCACGATCACGTAAAGTAAGATAAAGAAAATATTCTGAAAAGCATTTTGTTACTTTTTACTGTATTTTGGGGTTCTTATCTGTTGTTTTTAATCATTTTTCATATCTGAAAGTCTATGGATTTTTAATCACTGCCATCTCTTACCATCTCCGTTGTTCAGTCAGCAGTTTTGAGCCGTGGTCAGACTTTTGTTTCTCACAAGTTTATCTATGGGAAATGTTCAACTTAAAAACTGAATTAAACTGCTTTTCAAAGAGGTTGTATTATGTGGTTATCATTGTCACCCTGTCTTGTATCAAACATTCCAATACTGATACCCACCTCTCCTACAGAGGCGCTGACCCAGACTGGTTGCAGTTGTTTTGTATTTCTTTGTATATTTTGTGTCTCTTTGTAGTCATTTTATGTATCTTTGTTGTCACTTTGTGTCTGTGTTCATTCTGACCCCTTGGGCCCCTGAGCCTGTGCCCAGTAGGCCGTTCAACAAACCATCTATGTGCCTACCAACTCTCCTATCCATGTGTACTGATTATATGGGTTCTACATTATGTTGTATTATAAAACATCTGACAAAACAGCAGAAATATACAACTGTGATTGTTTTTCATTTCCAGAAACACATCATGCAATTAAACAATTACACTAATAGTCTAACCGTCTTGTGGTATGGCGGGAACCATTGGCCTTGGTAGTACAATAATGTTGACAAAAGCTGAGCATCTGCAGCTTTGGAAGTGTGGGAGTTTATTTACATGCATGAATTGATGCTGTTGAAGATTTAGAAGAATAGGAGAAAATAAAAGGAAAAGGAGCTGAAAGAGGTGAGCCAAGCTGAAGAGACTCATTTCCATTCCCCCACATGATACAGAAGAACATTACATTTTATAAAAGGTTCCTCTTTATTTGGTTTGGGTTGACCTGCACAGCCAGAGATAAAACCCTCTTTACAGATGATTATATAAAGAACAATAAATAATTTCTGTAGATGAAAATAAATCAGTCATTAAATTGCTGACACCCTGTGGAAAGTTGACAGTGGCATATGAAGCACATTCGGACTGATTCGTTTTGAGAAAAAGCCGTTATATCTGTAGGAACTTTTTATTACTCACTGAATTCATTAACACAGGATTTTTGTTGGTGCATACCGTAACCCATTTCTTTTTCTCTACATAATAATCAACACACATTTACAAAGATTTACAGCACTGCATTGTGGGAGATGGGAGTGCCCATCGGGATATGCTGTTGCCAGGCAACAAGAGGAAGAGATAAAGCTAGTCGTTAGTTTCTAAAATGAGACTTGGGTAGAAAGCGGGGAACGGGAGGGGAGGGGAGGGGAGGGATGGAGGGCAATGTACACATGAGGTAAATTGGGGATTTCACTCAAGATTACAGATGGAAAAAAAAACTACATTTTACAATACAGTACAGTACTGAGTGTAAATTTAGGCTTCAATCATTTATTGGTCCTTTTTGTACACTTTTAAGGCATTAGGTAGGATGTCTCAAGAGAGGCAGGGCTTAAAAAAAAAAAAACTTTGTCTCAAACAAAATATTGCATATGTAAAACCATTTAAAGTGACCATGGTGTAATTAAAAAAAAAGCACCTTTCACCACACTTTGTTTTCAGCTCCTCTCATAGATACTGTGGTGGTGGGAGACAGGGAGACGCAATGTAAATCTGTTCCTCTTCCACTGCTGGAACAGGGCTGGGATATTTGGATGGGACTGACACTGACATCATCCAAAAACACTAGAGAATTCAGGAGGATGTGGGTGGCTGTGAGCTGCTGTTGTCATGGTGATGTGGGGGGGGGGGGGGGGGGATTAAGATCAAGAGTATATCCCACAAGTCAAAACTTCAGGTTGTCAGTTTCAGGAGGGGGCGCTATATACACCCAGTCACTATTATTGTCCCCCACCCCTCATTCTCGATGTTGTCCTACTGAGAAGAGTGTTCTCCTTCTCTCTTCTTCTCTCTCTCTCTCTATCTCTCCCGCTCTCTCCCAGTTGTTGTTGTGGAGAGACGGCTCTCTAAACATTGGGTCCTTTAATTCTTCCCGCCTCCTGTAGTCTCGGGGAGGTGTACGCTGACGCAGCGAGACACATGGCCGCCTCGCAAAAGCCTGGGAGGCCTGCCGACCCTGCCTTACCGGGGTAACCGGCCTCTCCGGGGGATCCCTGAGGTCCTCTCTCGCCATGCCTGCCATCCCGAGCCACACCGTCAACACCAGGAGGACCTATGGGGGGCGGGGAGAAGGTTCAACATCAAGAAGAGATTTGAACTGATTTCCAAGGGTCAGGAGGACTCACTACACTGATTGTACATGTTGAGAAGATTTCCACTGGTGCACAGGGTCTGTTTTCCACAGTCTGAATTAGAGTGTACTGTTGCAATCCTATTACATTCTCATTCAAGAGCATCTGTTAAATGACTGGAGTTAATGATGCTTTTAAAATGCCTTTGAGCAGCCTCTCCTGTGGCAAGAGCTGTAAGTCCTTCAGTTTCTTATTGAACCCTTACTCTTCTTAACCTTTGATGAGTATTACTTACTGCTTTACATTCCATGGATGTGCGTAAAGTTTGGGAGGCTTCAACTCTTACCTGGTATTCCCGGGGGTCCTGGTGGTCCTGGATGGGGTTTACCGGGGTCTCCTCTATCTCCCTTTGGCCCTCTCTTTCCTAGTGAAGACAAAATAGAACGGGCTCAGATTTACCCTGAAAAGCTGTTTTCTGCTGTGAAGTCATCATATGTAAATACTCTACTGCATATTTCTACCTTTAAGTCCTGTGTTTCCAATCTGTCCAGGTGCTCCAATAATGCCAGGAATACCGCGGGCACCGGGTAAGCCATGTGGCCCCTGAGGACCAGGTGAACCTGGAGGTCCAGGAGGCCCGGGAGGACCCATTACACCTGCCCCACCAAGCACAGCCCTCTTGGCGCTCACCGCCACCGCTGCCAGCCTCTCTGTGAAAGAAGAGACAGCATCGTCATTTTGATTAAATTACCTTTGATGATGGGCAAATGATTGCTCCGGAGATGAAAGTAGGGAAATGAGCTAATCTAATCTCCCCTATGGACATCAAAGGTGAATATTCACGCTCACCCTGCAACATCTTCAATACCACTTCAACAATATGCTGGTCAGATGCATCGCGTCCCTGGAGAGAAGAAGAGGAGACTGAGCATCGCGGAGAGACAGCAACCCGGCCAAGTGCATCAATCAATACGCTCCATGCATCATAAATGTGATCGAGAGTGACTTGGACTCACCGCTGATCCCTGAATGCCTGGCATGCCGGGAACTCCTCGCTCTCCGTTGAGTCCCCTAGGACCGGGCAGTCCTGGTGGTCCTGGGTCTCCAGGTTTACCGGGGTCTCCAGTGGGTCCATTGTGCCCGGTGTCACCCCTAATTCCTTGCTGTGAAAAGAAAGGAGCATTAAGGTTGAGTGAATATATGGATACTAAAACAAAACAGTGATCAGATTTCCACACGGCACCACCTCACCTGTCCTTTGGGCCCGGGTTCACCAGACAAACCCTGTCAGAGCAAACACAGAGACTTTATCATTTTCAAATTCATCACTTCCATCCATCATTTCTGCCTCAGAGACACTCATTGAGCAGTAATTCCAGGATGAATCTTGTAAATGAATGTCTAAAAAACACTGCCTCAAAAAGCCAACGTGCATCATTGCTTCACTGTCATGTTAATAGCTCGTTTGCCATCTGGATTATTATGGGGATTTGTATGCAAATTCAAAAGCAGACTTCCTCTTCTTCTTAACTTCCGTATGGTTATGACATTTACTACCATATATCACTTTGCTTTGATGCCTTCAGAGCCAACTGTTTAAACCTTCTTATCTAAAGCCTAGATTCAGAGACTTTTGCAAAAACTTTGAAACAGGTTGTGCAAGTAGCTGTGATTTACCTTTTCACCTTTCTCGCCAGACAATCCCTCAACACCGGGGTCACCCTAAAAGTGACAGAGAGAAAAAGATCAAGGGGGGGAGCGAGACGGATGACCATACCGAATATAAAACATATAACAAGTTTCTGACAATCCAGTTTAAAAGAGCAAAATGCTACTCACGATGTCTCCCTTTGAGCCAACTTTTCCTTGGAAGCCCTGGGAAAGAAAGATGGGTTGAGTACATGTAAATGTGGTCAAATTTAGATTATAATATCTTAAAAAAAAACACAAGAACTAAATATTGATTCAAGCCAGTGACACCGCAGATCACAAAGTAAGAAAGATGTTGTCTCATCTCTGAAACATGGAATATGAGGATGCTCGGATTATCATTTATATTGCTTATTTATATTGCTTGCCTCATTCAGTGATTTACCGTGGATGCGTGGCTTTTATTCATGGGTAAACACTGCCCCCAACGGACAAGTCTGGGTAACTAAATTATTATGAAGTACACAGGATGCACATGTTTTTACCAAGCAATATATGCATTTGTTCATGCACGCACAAACACAGACCTTGTCTCCCTTGGTTCCACTAAGACCCTGGGCACCTGGAACACCAATTGGTCCTCTCTCTCCTTTGTTTCCCTGTTGAGAGACATTCGAATTTATACAGGAAAGTATAGCTGCAGCTGAAAGGTGTTTTCAGACAGAGGAAACGCAAAGAAGGAACTTACAGGCTTGCCGACTACACCCTGTGGCCCGGCTTCACCCCGCTGGCCTCTGTCACCCTGTACAAATCAGATGAGGTGAGTATGTGTGGTTCACAGTCTCAGATTTAAGTGTTCTCGTGTAGCAATTGTGGATTTGTACCTTGGGTCCAGGAACTCCTTCCATACCGGCCTCACCAGGAACACCAGGCTCACCCTAGGAGAGGAGAAGAAGGAAGTATTAACCCTACAGCACAACAAAAGAGCTGCAGTCAAACTAAATCCATTTCTCTGTGTTTATGTGTTACCAGAGGTCCAGCGGCACCAGCCATGCCAACGTGGCCCCTAGGTCCAGTCTCGCCCTAATGAAGGGAAAAACAAGGTGCACATTTTAAAAATGAAGACCCGAAGAATGCACTCACTTTAATATGATGTAATATGAGTTTTTAAGAGGCTTACCTTATCTCCAGGTCCTCCCTTTGTCCCAGGACTGCCAGGCAATCCCTGCAGACAGAATTACAAAGACTGAAATTAGTGCAAATCAAAGTCTGGATCTTTGGTGGCCTAGGGGTAAAGATGCAAACCATATAGTTGCAATGTCCCTGGTTGCAGCTTGACTTCACTGTACACACGCTAAAAAAGCCCAAAATGCCACAGGTAGTATTGGTAGTGGGTGGTAATAGTGCTGATACCTTAATAATAATAATATTAATAATACTAATAATTCTAATAATAAGAAAGAAATAGACCAAGCTGGTGTGCCAGCTGTTGGCAGGTACCTTGCAGCAGCAGGTTTCCTTGCAGTGATTTTGTGTGTGTGTGTTTAAATGTGTGTGTTTGTATGTGATGGTATATCACAGTAGGGTATAAGGCAGGGTAAGTTATGGTGTTTGAGTTTGCAGCAGTGTTGGTGTCACTGCAATGACCACACAGCAAAGTGTGCATCTCATGCTCCATTACCCCTTAGTCAGAATGACGTGCACACAAACATAACCACACACACAAACACACACACACACAAAGAGCGTACCCAGTGGTCTGATTGTGATAAATCGCTCGCGGTGGGAGGGAAAATGCTTTTTCAAGGTGGTTTAAATTCTAAAACAGCGTGGGTCACAGGGTCATTGTTAACCTGGATGAGTGCCCAGAAAACAAAACATACCAAGATTTACAGGCGGCTTTGCGCTGGTTTTCTCTGTCTGTGTTCTGGCTTTGTTGAATTAGGGAGGAGAACAGATTGACCCCCTACGTGGTCTGAGTGACAATACCCATTTACAGGCGGGCTTATTTGCATGGGCCTTCGTAGCGTTGCTGAACAATCCTCAAACAAACAGATTGCCCCAACCCCCACCCCCCCTCCACTACACTGAAGGATCACTCACTGCTGCTCCTTGAGGACCAGGAGCACCAGGCATCCCAGCCTGGCCAGGGCCGCCCTGCAGGAAAGAGAACAGAAGAAGAATAAATTGCCATCTTTTGCTGAGAGTGAACTGTCTCATCATTATCGTGGCTGGCAGCCCTTACCTTGATTCCAGGAATACCAGGTGTGCCATCTTTCCCATCAATACCCGGCAGACCCTGAAAAAGCAAGCAGATGAGTCAGTGGACTTCATTTGGCACACTCTTCTTAACACTGCTGCAACTGTGTAGCGCACAAACAGAAGTGCGTTCACTCACATTCTCTCCTTTTTTGCCAACCGCGCCCTGTGGGCCCTGGATGCCTCGGTTGCCCTGCAGAAGATAACCAAACCGGCGTCAGTGTATTTGCAATGCACATCAGGATCAGTGTCTCCATTCAGGTTCTGAGACACGTTTCATCTTTTTTTGTCTTGTGCCACTGCTTTGACAACAACTTCAAGGGAAAAACACTAGAAGAGTCACCTACTTTGTCTCCCTTGTCTCCTGCCTCTCCGGGTGGTCCCTGAGGTCCCTCCTCACCCTGCAAACAACAGAGAGAGGCTTAGGTGTACAGTGGGTACTTGTTTTATATGAGTAATCAAGTCTGAGTGTGTTAGTGTGTTCTTACAGGAGGCCCAGGGATTCCCACAGGTCCGTTGATGCCCTTGTAACCACGAGGTCCCTGTGGGAAAACAAAAAAGTGCCATCAATCACTTCAGATCAGGGTGGATGCTAAGTCACGGTAGCCTACAATTCATTGTGATAAAGGGGTAATTAGCGCTTAACTCACTTCACTAATGGGAGCTACACAGAGAGCCAGCCACTCTTGCTTTGGCACTAAGCCGGGGCGCTAACTTGGCTAACGCGGCTAATGTTAACAGTAAGACGGATGGCTACAGCGGATCATTAACTACAGATGGAGGCACCGTGGACCCAGACAACCCCAACTCATTAGAGGAGGGGAGAGATTTGTGTTAGCATCATTTCCATATGTCCCCATTGCTGGTAATGGATGATGTTTGTATAGTGGGGGCAGGTCTGGCTGTGCCTCCTTGGTGCTCCTCTAAGAATGAGAACAGCCTTGTACCCAAAGAAAAAGAGGACAAGAAAGTTATATATGTGACAAAAGAAGAGAAGTGGTGGTACTCACTGCTTCCCCTTTAGGCCCCATCATTCCTGGATAACCCCTCAGACCCATCGGACCCTTAGAGGGAAGCAAGGAAAAACAGGATGAGACATAGACTGACCCATGACTAGACAAAGAGCCATTGCCACAACCTTATGTTCTGTCAAATCAACAGCATAGCATGTGAAAACAATACAATATTAGCCTATGCCAGCCTAACTTTGCCATACCGGAGGTCCTGGGATACCCTGTTCCCCAGAGATGCCCACTTCTCCCCTGGGACCCTGGTGAAGGAAAGGAAAAAGAACAGGCTGATTAGTTATTCTCATTCTGCGCTGTTCTCTGTTACACAGCTGCCTGCTACCAATCATTGCACATTCAAATGTCTTCAGAAAGCTGAAGGAGGTCTTGATTTCGTGTACACGTCCATGGAGTCTGACCCAAGGAACTCTGAGCTGGACGGACAATTCAATTGAAGCCAGTCTGTGATGGTTGGTTGGTTGCTTTTGATGTCTAAACTGGTCTTGAATGGTCGTACACTGGTATGTTGCTGGTTAAATATCTAGCTTTTGGGAAATATTTAGGAATTCTTTCTGAGAGTTAGATGAGAAGATCAATAGCACTCACACTATTGACGAGAGACAGGTGGTGATTAGGTTAGCGACTAGCTATGAGCTAAGACCTCTAAAGCTTGCTTAAAATAATTTCTTGGGCAAGTTACTTGCTGTAACTATTTTTTCATCAGGCAAGTGACTTCTTGGACACTTGCTGTCACTACAAGGTAGCCGAACAACCAGTCAAAACTCTGGTAAGGCCAACAAGGCCGCTGTTTGCCAAGAAATAGCTGTAGCATTTAACTCCCTGTAAATCTACAAATTTTGGCTTTAGAGGTGTTGGATGGTATATTTTTGGACAGAGCTAGGCTAGCTGTTAACCCCCAGCTTCCAGTCTTAATGCTAAGCTAAGCTAAATGCCTCCGGGCTCTAGTGACGTACTTAGCGTACAGGTATCAATTTTCTCATCTAACTCTCAAAAAAAAGAATGAGCTAATGTTGTTGTCCAGTTAAGGCCAGTAAAATCCATCAATCCAAAGCTCAGATCATCAACCAATTTAGCTGGTCACATTGTATTTTACAGCATTCTACAGATCCTAGACTTGATCACTAATCTACTTGTATTCAGTATCATCAGTAATATAGCAAACACAAAAAAGCCCAAATGTTTTTTATAGCTGGGAGCCATGTTTTAGTCCAAACAGCTAGTGGGGATGTGACCAGCTCATGCTGGCTGTTTTTAAAGAAGAAAATAGAGCAGCATCACAGTGCAATCTTGAATCATGACAGGCCTTCTAAAATACTGATCTGCTTGGGAGGAGAGGTAACTGGGTGCGTTGAGTGTTTTGAGCATCTAAGGCTCCTTGTGTGGGAAGATCAGAGGCTAATTCCTGGGGCCTGGCTAGCCGCTCCCTTGGAGCCCAGTGTGTGCTCATTAGCTCTGCTTAATACATCGAGGTGAGAGGGCTGCGTGAACCCTGACTCTCTCATCCTCCCCTTCATGTACCTGGCTCTTCACCACCCCTTTCATCTGGCTCGCTGTATGCCGACTACAGGGCCAAGGCCAGGCCTGACTAATCGCAGCCAGATTAGTGCCAGTCATGTGCCTCGGGGGGCTTCATTAGAGCTAATCCTTGCCTCGGCTGGTCCTGAATGGTGGGTGAGTGTGCAAGACTGTACAACATGTACATGCATGGTTGTGTGTATCCGTTCTAGCAGATTGTGCAGCTCACCGATTTTCCAATGCTGCCAGGATCTCCGAGAACACCAGCACGTCCTTTGTGTCCCTAGAGGGCAACAATCAGTCAGTAAGGTGTCATGATTATTTTGTGATGCAACATAATCACTGATGCCGAAAGAAAAACGTGCTTATTCCTTTGGGGCAACTTGAAACCGTCAGACAACTCACCTTGACTCCCTGCAGTCCCTGGGGGCCTTTAGGTCCTGCTGGACAGTTAAGAGGACACTGTTGTCGAGAGAAGGAAAAACAGGATTATGAAGTGAAGTCAAAACATGTTTCATTTGTCATCAGGGCATGTTATAAGATCTTACCTGGAAGTCTGCACTGCCTTCTTCTCCACCAATAAACTTCCCTGGGGGTCCCTAGATGGACAGATGGGTGGACAGAGAGACAGATAGATGAAGAAAGTCACTTGGTCACAGTTGCCTCTACTCCCATGAGCTGAGCCAGCACTATCGCTCTCTCTCTATATATTTCTCCCTCCATCTTTCCTTCTCTCTGTTTATAGATTGAGTTAGAAAGTAAAGTATCTCTACAGGGAATGATGTATTCCTGCAACAGTCAGATGAGACAACCCACTGATCTAATGGGGGTTTATTTACCCTAGGACAGCACTAAAGCTAAACAAATACACTCCCCTGGGCTGCGAACATCACTCTCAATGAAGACACCTCCCCTCTTGGAACCACTCAAAGATGCACACAGGAGAGTACATACGCCATTGGAAAACAGACTTGAAAGTGTACCGCTCAAAACTGTTTGTGGTATTTCACCACTTACTGTCTGCTGGGACCTGTACTAGCTGCAGTGAGCTCTGGCTGTGCTATAGGTGCCTCGCAGTACATTTTAAAATGGAGTATGCTTCAGCATGGCATGAGTAGATGTGATGTGGAGTTTCTCTTTGCTTTACTTTTACACTGTGATCTCATTTCATTTTTTAATTTAGATTAACTGTAATTAGATTGATTAAGCCCAATGAGCTTCTGGTAGCTCATATATGTCTCACTCTGTTCACAGCTGTTCTCACCATTTGCACTGAAAAGGTATGAAAAGATTTACTGTCTCACTTAATGACATCAATTAGAGCTAGAGTGATATATTGGCTGGATATTTGCGCTATTAGCTTCTTGCAGATACATTGGTATCAGAATATATGTAGGCCAAAATAACAAGAAATTAGAGCACAGATATGCCACTGATTTTAATTAAAGTAACAATTCAGAAGCAGAATCAGAATCAGAAATACTTTAATAAAACAATTAATAAATTAATAATAATAATAAACAAATTGCTTTGTTTGTCTATCAGTGAGACATTACAGGTATATTTTTCAACAGTAAAATAGCATGAGTGAAAATATATATTATCAAAAATGTATTATTATTGATATATTTTATAAACTTTGAAATATTTATATCAGTATTAGTAGTTATTGATATGGCTGCTTATGCTAACTACCCTGTTATTTTTCTACCCCAACCAAATTTGTGAAAATGTAACTAGTGAGATGGAAGGAAAAAATTGTGAGGTCTGGTGGCCCTTTTCATGGTATGTACAATATCTTCAGTGTACCCTGAGAAGATGGTAAGCTTGGATTTAGAATGGGTGGACAAAATAACAGGAGTAGTACAGGTGGTAGTTTGTGTTCTTAGATTGAGTTTTATGTTGTTACTGTAATGTATAACATGTACAGAGGATGTTCCTATATCCATCCCCATTACAGTACTCAGTAGCACTCCAACCTCTTGAACTTGGGTTTTCAAATTGTACATAGCATTAAGATCATCTTTGTTCCATTACAAATAGATTACAGATAGATATTTCCTGGAAAACCAGGCCTGGGTGGACACTTACTGGCTTGCCAGGAGGTCCAGGAAGTCCTGGAGGTCCAGGTGATCCCATGACACCCTAAATGAAGCAGAGGAAGCAAAGAAGCTGTGAATAAGAAGCTGAAAATGTAAGGGTTCTGGCAGTGTATAACCTGTTTATAAGATGCTTGTAAGTCATGCAGGCATGTAATAAACTGCTGGTTTCCTACCTTTGGTCCATTTGGTCCAATTTCACCTGGAAGACCAATTGGTCCTGGAGCGCCCTAGACAGAGAGACGCAGAGAACAAGAGAGAACAATGTGTACACATCCCAGCAGCCACAAAATTATTTCCACACCTCAAAGCAAAGCTATTAAGTGATAATTGTATTATATCATACAAGCTACTTACAGCCAGTCCTGGAAGGCCGGGTCCCTGTGTGGACATAAGGGACGAGGGGTTAAATTACTGTATAACAAGTGGAACCAATCCGTCAAAGTATCAATTAAGGTTTGCCAAAGCCAATTATTAATGGCAGCAGTAATTCAGTAATACATGTGTGTACAGTGTCAGCACGCAGGGTAAACAGTGCTCAAGAAGAACAAAGACACAGAACGCAATCAGTTTATGTTTGCTGTGTCTTTTGCTTGGAATTAATTATAAACAAAGTAATTAAGTAAGTAAGCCTTCGCAGAGGAAGAACAGCTCACGGGGCAGGATCTCCTGTCTCTGCAGTCTGAGGCATCTGGGTGTACAAGCACAGCCCCCAGACAGGACGCCTGTTAATGCTAAACAAAGGATTTAACTAATAGTGTCGCATTCAAGCATGACATTGGATGACTCTGAACTTAATGTTTGAATATATTGGATGATGTCTAATAGATGGACACTGAGCACCCCCTGGTGGTGTTCAACTGTGTTACAGTTGATCTGCTGGCATGCATTAAGTTGCACTGCTGAACCGACTGGCCATGTATTGGCTCATGTGAAGAAAGTCAGTGGTTGCAATTGATGATAATATTTACATAAAATGTGGATCGCAGATAATGGTTTCTTCTTTATTAGGGACTGTGTATAGGAATAAGGCTTATGTCAGCTGTAGAAGGCATATGCCACATCTGAGGAAAACAAAACCCCAAAAGGGGGCACAGCTGGTCAGGCATTCAGGCATGAAGAAAAAGGGACTCTGGAGGTTGCCTCATGAGACCAGCTGGGTTACAATATGTTTGTTAGGAAACTGACTAGGCTTCAAACAATGCCTAATTCAGCACGTCATAACTCATTTTCATGAGTACCATGACAGCTGTTATCTAATTAGTTATATTGTACCTTGATAGTACACTTACTCAAGTTCTGTACTTAAAAACAAATTTCAGGTATTTGTACTTAACTTGAGAGCAGATGGAAATATTGTCCTTTTTACTCCACTAGATTAATCTATACAACTATAATCCACTATAAATACTATAAATTTACCAAAAAAAAAAAAGAGAAAAACATATAATAAGATTATAAAAAATATCATGCATTAAAGATTACCCCAGTGTTTCCCAACCTTTTTGGCTTGGACGCCTTGTCATGTTTAATATGATTTGTTCGTAGTTCCACCAAAATAGATTTCCCTTCTAAACTTCACAGACAGTTTTGTTTAAATAAGTGTTCAGTGTCCAAAAAGGCAAAACAAAACTATCCAACTATTCACAGACAAGCAAAAATTTTAATTACTCAATAGATCATCTCATGACCCCTCAGATTTATCTTGTGACTCAGCCTAACCTCCATGTTGGGAACCACTAGACTAAAGTAACTGTATATAAACAATTTACAACTGCCTTAATCTCAACTAGCTACAACAGTAAAATGCTACTTTAGCATTCATACATCAGTCAGAATTTTGATACATTTGCTGATAACACATATTTAGTTTTACTTAAGTCAGAGTTTGAATGCAGAGCCTTTACTTGTACTGTAGTATTTTTGCACTGTTGTATTGGTGTTTTTACTTAAAGGGCCAGTGTGTAGGATGTAGTGGCATCTAGTGGTGAGATTGCCGACTGCAACCAACTGAAACTCCTTGACTAAACCATGTGTGAAGGAGAAACTGTGTTGGCAGCAAAACAGGCAAAAAATGCAAAAGGCCCTTTCTAGAGCCAGTGTTTGGTTTGTCCATTGTGGGCTACTGTAGAAACATGGCTGTTGAACATGGCAGACTCTGTAGAAAAGGAAACACTGCCTCTGTAGTGGACCTGTAGTGGATAAGTAGTTTACTTACAGGAGGTCCAGGTTCACCACTTGGTCCAGGTTGACCCTGCAGACAAGAAGAAAACAATGAAATTAAGTATAGCAGTGAGCATGTGTAGGCATGGTTACACAAATAAAGGAGGACAATATCCTCAGGGTATCTTAGGGTGTTCAATGTTACAGTGAAGGTAAAATAACATTTTATTCTTCTATTCATTCTCCTGTAAGCATTGGTTCAGTGTCATGCTCAACATCACAATGACAAGATCAGGGGAACATGACCCTGAGACTTTTTTGTTATAAAACTAACCCTTGTGAAATAAGAAATCTGTTCTAAGGTTCTTTTCAGGTAGATGTTTATACACTTGCCTTAGGGCCAGGGCTCCCAATAGGACCTCGATCACCCTTTGCTCCAATCAAACCCTGGGGACAGACAGAAAGAGATGTTGGCAGGCAGATGTGCTAGACATGTATACTGTAGAGATCAAAAAGGAGGTTAAAAAGACAATGATCAGTTACCACTGTGCTTTCCACAGAGTGTATGTGAGTTGGATTCCCTTTACAACGGGGCTAATCACACATTTGATCGACGTTGACACTGTTCTTGTAAGTAATTAGGGGTAAAAAACAAGGATTGAGATTCCAGGGCGGATTACTTGCTAAATCTCTGAGGAATGCATGTGAGTGTGTGTGTCTGTGTGTGTGTGATTCTGTTAGCATGTGACCAAGAGCTGCGCCACAATTAATATCAGGTAAATCAATAACAAAGCTCCAAAGCTATAACATTCTTTTAAACTCTTTAAACAGCTTGCTACCTGTGATTACTAGAGACTGAATATGTGTAATCAGTGAGGGATAATGGGTTTGGCAAAATGTATATTCTTTTCAGTCATATCCTCATTTCTATGACTGAAGCAGTGAAATAAGCTTTAAAATCGAAATCACTGTGTTTTAGTTTAAACCCATAGTTAGGAGGTCAAGGGTCAGCTCTGCAGTGTCATGACAATATTTCCATCATTGGAAAAGAAATACCCAGCCCACAGAGGGAAAGTCTGAATGCTTTAATATGAAAATAACTCAGCAAACGTACAGTAGCCTGGTGTAGCTTAATTACCTTGTTTTCATAAAAAAATCTCTAATTGGAAAAAGGAGCTATGAGACATTACAATAAGAACAAGGAGAGAGAAATGGCATTAAAATGGTTTAAATATGACATTAAAGCTAAAAACAATGGGTTATTTTAGAATAACTGAAAGTTACTGTGTAGTTTTTATTACAGTTAAACAGTTTTGTTTGCATTCAACGTATCTCATCCAAGCCCATTGTGCCCGTTTTCTCTCATAAAGCATCGGCAGAGCCAGACCATGTCTAGGATGCCGCCAAGATCTTCTGAAAAGTGGACTTTAAGTTTTTATTGTTTTGAAAAGGTCCTAAAGGTGCAATGTTTGAATTCACAACAGCCAATAAGCTCACATATAAACAGCTGCATCTCCATGACAACCCGAGCAAGGTCTATTGTTGATGAGGGCTGTGTGGCACTACTGAAAGCTCAGGAAAAAGCTAGTTCTGTAAGTGAACCTTGAGTTGGGATTGTTAGGTCAAATGTGTTTAACATTTTTTCTTTCCAGTCAGGGGAAATATGTATATGAGTATATCATGCATGCACTGGTGCAACAAGGGATAGAAACAACACAGGGACCATGGGTGCTGCTCATCAAAACATTGCTCTACAGCGCCACTAGTGGCTGAAACTACTATAGAGTACCTTTAAAATTTTGACGTCATTATTTTTTCTAGTCATTTCTTTTTTCATTGTGATATTATTCATGATAACCTACACTGACCCCTTTTTAGTTTCAATTCTGATGTTTAAGTTTTCAAAAAAATATATACTTATTTTAATTCTAATAATAATTCTAATTGGGGCCCCGAACAACGTTATAAACATTTCATTTTATTTTAACTCTACATATTTGGCAGTTTTTTTTTTTACAATGTGACTTCATTGACAGTTCTGTTAAATTCTGTGTCTGGCTCCCATTTTGCTGTTCCTGTGGGATTTTTTCACATTTGTCATCTTGGTTAGTTTTTTCTTTTCTTTTCCTTATAAGCTGTTTTCACATTAAGCCTCTCAGAATGTTTCTTTTGGGAAGCACTTTTTGTTATCATTTTACTAGCATTTTCAAAGCCCTTTCTCTCTATTTCTAGCACTCTTTGTCTTATTATTTCTCTCAAACACACACCAGTTACTGACATCAGTCAGTTTACTTACATCAATGCCGTTCTCTCCTGGTGCTCCATCAGGACCTGGCTCTCCCGGCTCTCCTTTTTGTCCCTACAATAAAAAAAATAAACTATTGTTAGGGGGGAAGAAGTCTGGACCAATCATACACTAAAATTGTTGTAATAAAAAATCGAACAAAGAGTACAGTGCAAACTTACTGGTGGACCAGGGGGCCCAGGAGGTCCTTTATCTCCCTGCAGAGAGACAGAGTGGAGATGTTAACCCTTTTTATTCTGTATCTGTTAATTTGGACATTTTAAACTAATTCATAAAACTCGTAAAGAGCCTGTGTCTTTGAATAGTTAGGGTACATCATGAAAATGGGTCAAGTTGTTGAAGTTATCTTGCTAATGAGATGGTCATCATGACTCTGCATTAATAATGCAGAGACTGAATGCATCATTCATGAAATTAATTAATATCATGTTCTTCCAGGCAGAGACATGTGTTCAAAGACTCCAGTGATTATGGTGTAAACAATCTTTAGATGAAATGTTTTTTTTCTTCAAAGGCTGGATTCTCCATCACACTGATATCTCACCATTTCTGTGGCAGAAACCCAAAAAGAAAAAAACACAATTTAAAAACTGGAGGGCAGGCTGCACCTTCCAGTGTGGACCAAGAAACATTGCTCTTTTTCTTTGCAGTGGGGTGTGTAAGTGTGCTAACGTATCCCAGTTGCATTCTAGTGACAACCCAATGGTGGGAACTATAACTCAGCAAATCAGTCAGGCACAAGTGTAAATGCACAAAGAACATATCTGGGAAATGCATATAGTAAAGGTGGTACAGTAAAGTTTAAGAGCATAGACTTTAGTTAATAGTTCAAACATATTCGCTGATCTTAACAAATCAAATATCTAATCACATCTGAATCTGTATCATGGAACAAACACCATGTTTTACAGGCAGCATGCTTTCTGCTCCACTAGCCCAGCAGCCTCCATTTAACAACATCTTTACACAACCTGTGTGTAGTTAACCCCGAGAATATTTCAAATGTATCACATTACTGTGACACAAACTCAGGTTTGAGGCAAGGGTCCCTTCTCAAAGACCCCTCTCTCTGCTTGAAACAGAGCTCTTTTGTGCCAGTGTGTTTTCATTTGCAGTGCCCTCTGCTGGTAAGACTGCAGTCCTGCAGAGCAGCACAGGGTTGATATTTCTCCGGCACAATGATGGTCTTTGTGACAAATCTGCTGGGCAAACCTGTGTGGATACTCACATCAATGCCGTCTGACCCAGGGGTGCCAGAGGGGCCTGGTGGACCGGGCTGGCCCTGAGGTCCAGGTGGACCCCTCTGAAACACAGACAGAAAGACATTTCAAGTAATGATAAACAACAGTAAACCCTAATCAAGTCTTATAAGACTGTACAACTTTAAACAACAATATTATAAACTGTAATATCCAGTGATACTGTAGGAGATAATACAAAAGGTTTAATTACATTAAAACAAGCTCAAATATTTTCTTTATTGTGATATTATAGTGAAATTTAACCATTTGGAGTTAATAATTAAAAATAAGGTTTTAATCAAAGCTAATTCTTCATACTGGATCTTTTTATGTACAAAATTTATTTTTTATTTATTTATTTATTTAAAATCATGATTAATTAACCCAGTGTTGGAAAAATAGTATAGTTAAAGCATTCAAACATCATCAGATAGATATGTAGGTGCTGTACATATTACTGGATACCAATCAATAGGGCAATTACAAATAATTCAGAAGTAGTAAATAACACATAAATAAACAGTAAAACAATGTTAGTTAACTTGTCATATGATGCAGGGTAGACCAACATCAAATTGGTCAGTTCTGTACAGGTTACTGCATTGTGTCTATTGGCACCAACTTGTACTAAAGCAAAAACACACAAAAATGAGCCAAAATAAAGAACAAATGGATAATATCGAATAATAATGCTGCAGGAGAGGGGTGAAAAAAAAGGACTGAGGAGGAATGTGAAAGGAGGGGTCATGAGACTGGCACTGTTTACCACCAACACCCCCACCTCACCCCCCCTCTCCATCCCAATGTCTCCTCAGCCTGTTCTGAATATCATCTCAGTGGGTGAGTCCGTCAGGTGATAAAAATCATTTTGAATCCAACTTTTAATTCATCAAGTGTTTGAGAAAATCGTGTTAAATGTAAAAAAACAAAACAAGAATAATCCATAAGAGTGAAAACTGTTCGAGGTCCAGTAGATAGCATGTAGGTGTCTGTTTGAATAGGGGCTTTCACACTGAGTGGACAGAACTTGTGTGTGTAATGTGTGTTTGTGTGTTTCTATGTCTGTTACAGCCCACTGATTTCCATCTCTGTCATGGGTGCAGCGTTTGGCTATTAAAAACTAAAAAAATCTTCAACGTTTTTCTCCATTCTTTGATTGATAAAAATCTTCTTGGTCAAAAAATAAGTAACCCAGGTAATGGCAAAGCCTTGCCTTCAACAGCAACTCCTCAGTTAAATCTTCAGAAGAGATAAGGGTCCGTACGCGATAAGGACGATAATCCACAGAAGATAGTCCGGTTTCATTTTGTCTCCACAGCAGAAAACACATTTCAAGCTCATCTTTCTTTTACATGCATGCTATAAAGCTAGATGGTCAGCAAAACATATCTGTGTTGGTTCAAGCTCCAGTATTTTGATCAACTTAACCAGCACCAAGACAGCACACAACCTATAACATCACCTTAAGACATCCAGTGCCCTGTGGCCCTTTCCAGGGGCCCTTATTCCCACTAAACCCCAGAATAAAGGAGCTAAGCCTGTGCAGAGCAGGTCTCAATCTCCCCTGTCCACTCACCACTTGGGCCAGAGCCAGGCACAAGGTCTGCAGTATTACCCAGGTCTTCAGCAAGGCAGAGAGAGCAGCCATGGTCCCTCTCCCCTGTCTGTCTCTCCTCGGTTCACCAAATCCTCTCTTCTCGCTCCTCTTTCCGCTCCCTTACTCCTCTCCAGGCCGGCACAGTGCAGAACTGGTGGAGCAAAGCTGTCCGAGAGGAAGGAGGGGGGGGTGGTGGGTCTATGTGCACTGCCCCGAAAAAATTCACTCAGGAGGAAGGAGAGAGCTCAGAGTGGTGGGGGATGGATGGACGGATGAGGGTGGGGTAAGAGGTGTAGAGGGAAGAGAACAGAGAGAGAGGTGTAATCCTGGCCCACAGGTGGCCCCTGAAAGCAGAAGAAAAATACACTATGCACCCATCGACACTGTGGAAACACACACACACACACACACACACACACACCTATATATAGTTAAACACACACAGTATCTTAGAACATCTCAGGTTGTTACATTAGATTTGGGACAGGAGGTAACTCTCTGAATATGCTGAACAGGCAGCTTCTGCCACTGTGATTGGATGCTTGATGAATAATTAGCATATTTCCACAAATTTCTGAAGCCAATTGGTCTAAGAAGAAACCAAGCTCCTCCCAGAGCTGTGGGAGTGGACCAATGAATGAAATCTGGCTGTAACGCCAACTGTGTAAAACACCTAAACACGGGCCTTTAATAACTCCCTGCCTTTTCTTCTGTCTCATCTTTCTTGTGTTTTTCTCACCCTGAGGTTATTATTTGCATGGAGGCGTAAATATCTGCAGTTATTTCCCGTGTGAGTATTGCACTGCATAGATAAGAGGAACTGGAGGATATAGGGATTCAGTCAGGGTGGGAAGTGGGGACAGTACTGACTTTGTCAACAAAAAACATGACTTATAACTGTAGACATAAAAGGGATAAGAGAAAGCAAATAATGTACTTGTTCAACTCTCCCCTCTATGTTTTTGAGACCCATTCAAACTCAGTCATTTACTGACATCTAGTGGTCATTTTTACTAAGAGCAGGTGAGTTCCCACAGTAATCAAAAGTGGCTGTTGGAGACTGAATAAACAAAACTCATGGAAATGTGAAAAAAGACCTTATAGTGACCCCTGTTGTACAGTCACTACATTACAGCAAATACAGCATTTATCACTATGTCCACTAGATGGCAGCAGATGCACATTAACAGAGCCACTGCCATTCTGCAGAGCAGCTTGGTTACTATGGAGGCCTCCACTGCTGTAACTGGGGATTATACATTTGTTCTCCTCAGGGATGGTAAAGACAGTGCTGAGGAGGCTGAGAAGAGATGCCTTTATTAGTAAATTGAGATTTATTGCACACTACAGGAATTCTCAACAGACCCCATTAAACAAATTAGCAAACCAGCTCGGTGGTGGTCTCTCTACTGTATCTGTTTTGCACATTTTCACTTACTACATTTATCACACTCATTAACTCAAAATTGTTATTGCCATTTTCATACTTGGCACAAAAGCATTAAATAGTAATTAAATATTAAGTATTGACGAGTGAACACTTATTTTCCTATGTTGTATTTATTAAAAACAGGTCATAGTCATTAATAAGAAGACACAGTAGACTGAAATATGCAGGAATGCAGGGTGATTATGAGCTCTTTTTGTATAATGGATATATTTTACAACAACTTCAACATAAGTTTTCTTAGCCGACAGCCTTTGCAAACAGAAGGAGGTAAACCTGTTGGCTTGCTCTTGTTTGAAAGTAAGGAAATGCATTCATATTTGAGAATTATTTGAAAAGTGTCTCAATCTTTGACAGTGAAAACTGTACAATAAATACTTTAACTTGCAGGAATAAATGGAAACAGATTGAATCACAGACATACTAAATCTCAGACATACCGTAGAATATAAAGAAATTTCAATCCAACAGTCTTGTAAAGGCAATTGCTTAAACTAATTTCTCAAGCCATCTTTCATCAACTGTATGTTCTTATTGTACACTCATGAAATCAGGTTGATCGTGTATGACAAGACTAGTGCTGTTGCTAGTAGTATCCACAAAGAGTCTACCAAATCTGCATTTTGCAGGGACCACAAACAGCCACTGTTGATGGTCTTCTAATTCATTATGCTCTAGTGAACTGTGAAGTGTTTGCCTCAATGCCACTTCACCGACAAGTATGTTTCAAAAGTGACACTGTCAGCAAAGTTCTGCAAATCCAAATGATGAAACTGTACTTTCTTGTAATCCTTATGAGTCACTTCCTTCAAGCGGTTGAAAATTGCAACATCAAGGAAGAGCTTGGTTTAGATCCCATTAACCCTTCCATGCAGTATAGAATTGATCAAAGAGTTAAAAAAGAGTCTTAAAAAACAGTTGATGCATGGTTTTTAAAGCTTTAAATTGACAGAGCCAGGCTAGTCTGTTCAGTCTTTATGCTAAGCTAAGCTAACCGGCTCATGCCTGGCTCTATATTAAACAGATACATAAGAGTGGTATCAATCCTCTCAGATAACTCTCTGCAAGGGACCAAATATTCCTCAAAACTATTTCTATCAAGTCACCTTCAGTAAACAAAAACTAACAAATAGTCTTTTAGGCAGCTGTCTGATACACATATACGGAGCCTGCTTGCTACTGCTGCTCCGTTATTATGTGAAAATCTGTCACAGTGCGCCAATCTTATTTGATTTTGCATTTTCACATCAAAATCTCACACACAAAGCTGCATAAAACACTGTGAGAGCACATGCGAATCGCATTTCAGAAAATTTAGAGATCAAATGCACGGAACTACATCTATATCCAAAAACCTGCTGTGCTGATCTTCTCACGAGTGAAAACTGAAAAGACTCATCATCCAGTCTTTCTCATTATAAACCAATCCCCAGCCTCCTCATACTTCGAAAACAGACAAGGAAAACATTGGCCTCTCCCCATTTCCCTCAGAATCTTTCTGTCTCTTTTTCCCTGCTCATGTTTAAATTCTCTGGGGAATATGACTTAACTGTTATTTCTCTAAATGAAAGCAATCACATCTTGTTTCACGAGTGCATAGCAGATATCATAGCTTACTGAGAGATGCATGAGGCAACATGCCACCCAAATTCAACCAATACGTGATCAGCACACATCCTCAGCTCATACACCCAACCCAGTTATTATCTGGCCTCCACACAAATGCACAAAAAAAGAACAAAGCAAGCACACACATACACACACACTTACACATGCTCATGCATTTAAGCGCCTAATTGAAATATTATGAGTGACCAGGGAGGTTTTAGTTCTGTGCTGGTATTCAGCTCTGAGCTCCCACTTTTTCCTGAGAACGATCTGTTTCACACAGACAGGCTGTGTCCATTGCTGCTGTAATAAGACGCCTGAGAGAAGGGAAGAATGGAAGTCATCATTAAAGTCTGACGCAAAGACAGGAAGGCACATACAAACACACACATATGACGATGACAGACAGGGTAAATATTATCCTTGAGTGCAGGTGTGAGGAGTAGCGGCAAAGTGATAACAGAGGAGGTCATTAACAACCCAGCAGGGCTCGAGGCTGACCCCAGGCCCGCACTGTGTCAGGTCCTCTATTGAAACGATGTAGTTTAGAGTCAGAGCAGAGGGAGGAGAGGTACGTACAGACAGGCTGATGATGTACAGGCAGAGGATATTAGTCTGTCTGGTATAAAACACATTCATTAGGGTGTTTTGTGGTTATTCTCTCGCTGTGAAAATCGTTCCAGTCAGTCGCAGGCTAAAGCTTTTTTGACATGTAAAATCATTTGGGAATTCAGCAGATGAAGACATTTTGCGGTGTGATTTGGTTGTCGATCACAAAGCCAACAGTGCAGTGCATTATAGGGTGTGTGCATGTGTGTGTGTGTGATGTAAAGATAAATGCTCACACATGCCCTCAGATTTCCTTTCTTCTTTCTTCAACGACTTCGTTCCTAGAAGTAAAATTCTCCATTTATCTGTGCACTTCCCACTGTGAAACCGCTTTGAAAGCACCAATCCTTGTAAGTGCCTTTAAGTCAGCATGAGTCAGATGTAGTTTCTCACCGAGGCCGGCCACCTGCGCTGAACCCGATGTAGTGGCGAGACCCAGCTGTATGTTGAGAACTGGCCAGGAGTCACAGGCTGACAATGCGATGACTGCTGCGGAGATGAAAAAAACACACCGTTTAGCAGCCACTGACCCCAGTCTGAGCTTGGTGAGGTGTTTCTAAGCAACAAAGCATGGCACACATTGCACGTCAAACCAAAAGCCCAGAGCTGCCCTCCACCACCACCGAAGATAAGGGATGAGAGCGAGGGGGGCAGCAGAACGTTGCTGTTGCTTTAATGTGTTTGCATTGGCTAACATGTAAGAATATTTCATGTTCTGACATTATTATGGTAGCTAGATACACTATTAGAGTTGTATCCTCCGCAAGTTTTCCCAGCCTCCCCTAAATTTGATTTAACTTTTCGGGCGCTGAAATGCTGTTTTCAGCGAACATAATTGGTGAAATATACTGGCCTGTGGAGGTGGTCTGGCAAGGAGCTATGTGGTCTTTAAATCCTGTTTGAGCTCTTAGTGTGAGATTTCCAAACTTCAAACATCATAAATAACAGTAAATCCAAGTTATCACAATAGATGTGTTACAGATGTAAACTGGAAACTGTCAGATTAAGTGTAAGTAATATTTTTGAGGGGGGGGGTTTAAGGATTATGCTGCCACGTTTTACACATGTTGAGCTGGTCCACGCTTACGTGACCCTTAAAGGAACAGTTTGACATTTTGGGAAATACACTTATTTGCTTTACTGCCAAGAGTTAGATAAGGAGATTGATACCACTCTTATGTCTGTATGCTAATGAAGCTAAGTCAGTTAGCTTATCTTAAAGGAAACAGCAGGAGGAAACAGCTAGCCTGGCTCTGAACAAAGGTGACACATTCTGCCTCCCAACACCTCTAATGGGAGCTAATGAACATATTTTAGAGGTGTTAGTAGGTGTTGACCTTTAAACAGAGCTAGGCTAGCTGTTGCCTCCTGCCTCCAGTCATTTTGCAAAGCTAAGCTAACTGCCTGCTGGCTGTAGCTTCATATTTAGTGTGTAGATAAGAGTGCTATTCATCTTCTCATCCAACTTTAGACACAAATTCTGTGCATTTTATTCCTACATTAAAAGAATTATTGTCATATCAGCTAGTTTTTATGTTTCATAAAATCTGAGGAATGTTGCTCTGTCTTTTTTCT